AAAACACCATAAGAACACGATAACCTCACCATCCTCAGAGCATGAAGAAAACAGATGCCTTCATGTGGTTTCCTATACCAGACAGTGCAAACTTGTCAAATCAGGACCATATTCATTTCAAGGTAGTTAAAAAGATTATCATAATGAGATGTTGGGAATTTGAATTAATTATGTAGTGATCCATCACATATTACGCTAAGTGAAGGAGAAAATAAAAATAAACACTGAGCTAGAACAGATTTTCGGGAGAAGCAGAGAATGACTAATCCAGAGGAAGTGTTAGATTTGAGATTCATACTTCTCATTCTCTCACCCCTTTACTGAAAACATGAAAGGGACTGATAAAAATATGGGCAAAAATAGTTAAACTTTATTGCTTTTATATGAATAAGTGATTTTAAATTCAGAAGCAGCATCCAAGGGTCATCAAGAGAGTTACCCTTCTTGTCTGGAAATTATTTTATTGACTTATAGTGATTTTATACTCCATTAAAATGTCTTGTATAGATTGTTTGTAACCTTGGGACAGGTGGCAATCTCTCTCAATCTTAATTTCTTTATCTGGAAAAGGGTGATGAACTTGATGGCTTCTGAAAGTTCTTTCAACTCTACTATGTTAAGAGATTCTATTACAAGAGGTAATAGTTGTCCAAGGATAATTGGTACTGGAAAAAGACAGTTTAAAATGAATGTAATTAAAATGGGGGCCAAAAATTCACAGCAAATAGTGAAATGTTTGATTGGAATGTTGTCTTAAAAAATGAAACCAAATTATAAAATTTTATTCCAAAGTTAACAACATTTAAATTATGAATGTAACTACGCATAAAATGTTAGAATGAGCACAACTTGAATCAAGCATTGATTATTTGGGGGCAAGAATAGTTTTTTTCTAATTAATTTGAACAGTAGAGTGATACAATATCCTTTATTTCATGTTTGACTTTCACAGTGTGATAATCAAGGGAGTCACTTCTATAAAAATATTGAAAGGCTTGAGGAATTTTCCCAAGAGCCTCTCTTCATCTTTGATATTTAAATCTTTCTCTTTTGAAGCATTTATCTTGTAATCATTCTTGTCGATTTTCTCTTAACTGTTAACTGTCTGACTCTACTAGATCCTTATGTGTCAATGGCTTTGTGTTCAGTTAGAGCAGTTTTCCTTCTCTTACCTAAGCTTTCTGAAATCTTGCATTTTGGGAGCAAGATTTGTCAGATTTGCAATTTCATTTTGCAATTGCTTTGCATTGTTGAAGCACAGAATTGACAAATATTCAATCAACGTGATACCACCCAATGTAGACAATAGCCTCTGAGTGTGTGGATAGGGGCTGATTTTGTAAGAGGTCAATTATTGGTAAATATTTTTGGGCTTCCAAGATTCCCCACCCACAAGTAATTCTAGGATAAAAACCAATTAAATATTCTTTCATTCCTTTATAAAAATTAATGTATAGCCTTATATGATTCTTCTCCATTTTAGTGAGTAATACCAGTAAGTGTTTTTTTACCCAACACAGGATAATCACATTATAGAAAAACTCTGGTTTTCCATCTCTCCAGTGACATAAATCTTCAATGAACTAATGTTTACTTTCTGAGGTTTATGTTTAGGAGAAAGAGACGAGAACATGAAGTCATGTAATTAGTCTGAAAATCCAATTTTCAGATATGGACCAAGGTTGGTACAACTTCAGACCAGGCCCCTATGCATTCTTCAATAATAGGAATTGAGGCTCAGAACGCCAACATCACACCTGTTTAATTGGCTGTGGTAAATTACATGTCATTATAGAGATATTTTTAAAAGTAAAATATAGATTACAAGTAAATGGGTAAAATAAGCCAAAGGATAAAAATTGTAGGAAAATCTGCAATGAAATGGTCCAAACAGCTGAAATAAAAACTATCACACTCCTTTGATCAGAACTACCCACAGGAGGTTCCTTTTAAAAGCTGAAACAACTAAAAAATGGTTATCAAAAGGCCTGTACATCTAGTTATAACAGGACCAGGGGCAAGACTGCAGCTCACTGCTGGGACACACTCTGAATTAAAAGCTAACATAGAAGATACTTTATAAAGGAAGAATTTGTCTAGAACAAGCAGAAAATTGCAAAGGTCAAATCACGCAAAAAGCATTGCCAACTATAATGTGACAAATGAACTTTATCAGATAGGGTCTTGGCCTTCAGATAAGATAAGTGGCAGCAGCTGAATTACCTGCAACACTTACAGTCAGCATAGAGCAGGGTTTCTGCACCTTGGCACAACTGACACGATGGGTTGGACAAGCCTTTGTTGTGGGCCGTCCCACGCTCTGCAGGGTATTTAGCAACATTGCTGGTCTCTACCCACTACATGCCAGTAGCACAATCCCCATCCCCATCCCCCAAAGTCTGACAACCAAAATGTGTCCAGACGTTGCCAAATGTCCCCGGGGGAGCAAAATTGTCCATGATGGAAGACCACCAGGACTGCTGCTCATACCTGAGGGCAGCTTCACCCTTTCACAGTGGCTTCTACAAGTGGCTCCTCTGTTGTATGTCAGTGGAGAATGTCTCAAAGTTTGGTCATTCTAGTACCACATTTATGTTTTTGCTCATCACTGTGTAGCACTTTTAAGACTTTTAATAATTTTTATACTACTGATACTCTTATTTACTCAATAATATTCCTTAAAGCTATTTTTTTTTGCATGTATCTAGAACTTTTCCAGATACTTAGGAGGGAAGTTAATTCACTACATAAGTGGATACCTCTGTACATTAGAGCTTGAATCTTCCAGGAATCGGAGTTGAGAAGGCTTGCATCTAATCCGAAACCTGGCAGGCACTCGAGACAGTTCCATCTCCTTCACTCCTCCAGGCAGCTGTCCTGTTAACCCTATTTTTCACCCTGACTTCAAAAGGGGGGAGCCTCACATGTAGATTTGCTGAGTAAAACTCTGTCTACTTCTTATTTTCCTGATAGGCTTTCTCTTTCTTCTTCTTATTTATGTATTTATTTATTTACTTAGATATAATTGACATACAACATTGCATTAGTTTTAGGTGTACCCTTTAAAGCTTGCTTTTTTTTTGGTGAGGAAGATTGGCCCTAAGCTAACATCTGTTGCCAATCTTCCTCTTTTTGCTTGAGGAAGATTGTCCCTGAGCTAACATCTGTGCCAATCTTTCTCTATTTTGTATATGGGATGCTGCCACAGCATGGCTTGATGAGCACTGTGTAGGTCCATACCTGGGATCCGAACCCACGAACACCGGGCCGCTGAAGCGGAGCACGTGAACTTAACCACTACGCCACTGGGCCAGCCCCTTAAAGCTATTTTCAAAGGAATTTACAATAAGTAGAAATACATTTATTTTAAAAGGAAACATGTATCCTGCTCCCATAAAAGTGCAGCAGTACCTAGAAAGTAATTAGAAATATATACTGAAAGCAAAAATAATTATTAAATTCTAGCTGAATAGTATTGGCTACAGAAATCTCATCATGGCCTGAGGTCTGCTCTCTGTGGGATTAAGAAGTGTTAGAGGAGTTAAAGACACGCTAACACCAGGCTGGGAGGTTCTCCTTGTGGTATAAAAAAGGTAAGGGAGTAATTTTCTCATTATGTTAATCAATGTTGCTTAATATCACATACAACTTAAAATTATCTTCAAACAACCAGGGGTACAATCCCCCACTCTGGGGACTACTCACCCAGTTTATCTGTGGATGTATCTGGTCTGTGTGGCAACAGGTTCCATGCAAAGGAGAGTCTCTTGAGGACAGGATGTAACACACGGTCATGTCCAGCATGGACTTTAGAACCGGATAACCCTGCTTTGTGACCTAGAAACTGATAATAACTGTACCTCCTCATAAAATTGTCATTTAAGGATTACATGAGATAACTGATGTAAAGTACTTAGCATGCTCGGAACATAGTTGGCACACAACACTTTTGAAAAAAGTTTGAAAAAAAGTGCCAATTTTCAAGAACAAGGCCTGTCTTTCTTTGATGCTGAGTCTTTAGACCAGTTAGCAATCACCATGAGAGTGAAATGTCTCTCTCTCTTGATAAAACGGCATATGATTCTGAATTATCATTGTATATAAAACTCACGGGGACTCTCTTCCCTTGACATTTCTAATTTCGTTTCTTAGACCCAAGGGGTTTGTGAAATTCAGCTAGGAAGGCTTGTCTAATAGAGGGACAAACCCTCCATTTGATAAGGTTCACCGTCTCCAATCACAGTTGGCAATTCCTGCTAGCGGACTAACCTTCGGTTTACTCAGAGGAATGTTGTGATTTCCTGCTTGGGCTAGCCAAAGGACCAGATTATATGGTGGCTTCCATTCAACTGTTGGTTCAGATTTTTGACGGTCATATGCAATATCCTGCCTCAAGGATATCCACATTCCTAGATGGCATCTATCAACCTTTGTGCTGTGATGCAGTGAGTGAATGAAACTAACATTTACTGAAGGTGCCGCATAAGCTGGGCACTGTGCCCGATTCTTCTTGTTTAATCTTCCTAATAATACTATAAAGTTCCTATTATTCCCAATACAAGATGAAAAAAAATTAAAAAATTTGCCCAGGCTTTCCTGTTTAGTAAACGATGGATTTGAATCCAGATCTGATTCTAACATGCACATTATACTTGATCTGTAGCAAACATACCTCTGTGGGATATGAACAAATCTATTGAAAATGTTAACAGTCTGCATTTGTGTAGTACTTTAGACCCTTCAAAGTAACTTCACATCTAGTATTTCATTTGTACTTGTTTTGTAGGAAAACCACTTTTTGATTTCAGAGAGTGGCTTACCCCAAGTCTTTTTTCACAGATATTAACCTCATCTAGTCAACTTACTTTGGCAATAGGGGGTTGTTCTAATGCAAATATGTGTCCTCTGATCATTTCAAACTAGAAGCTGCAGTGCCAGGGCTAGAAGAGGTTTTTATTTGTATGCCCAAGTGTTTCATTTAGTGCTGATTTATTCTTGAGCTGAGATGGGTCCAGACTTTTCCAGTCTCAAAATCCTGTGAAAGCCAAATAAAAAAATTTTAGAACAGAGAAGCAGAGGGTATTAGATGTCTCCTAGGTGCACACATCTCATCAAATCTACTCTGTGATTTCACTCTGGTATCTTAGTTTCTTTTAGCACTGGACTTGTTTATGGGTTAGTATATATTTCCATGGTTATTTTAAAATTACAGAAAAGGATGGGCTCTAAAGTTCTGATTCAAATTATTCTGACATGCTGAAAAGATTGCCCAAAGCTTTAAAATCCATAGCATAGGCTGATGTTTTTATTTTCTTTAGGAGTGTCTGGTTTCTTTCTTCCCTCACCAGTTGTTTTACTTTACCAAGACACTCAGTAATGTGGAGGTGCCTTTGCATTCAAGCTTAATTTTCCTATTCCCCAAAGCCAGAGAAAAGGCAACCTCAAACTCCAAATCCTATCTAAAACAAATGACAACAGAATGGAAGGAAAAGTATTGCCTCTAGGAGTAATAGGGAGGTTTTGTGATGAGGAGAGAGAGGTATTAGAAAACTCATCTCTGTTGAGTCAGTCTCTCTGAGTTCACTGGACTCAGTCTGTGCTTTGAGGCCAATTTTTAGTCCTCTAATTTCCTTCTGCTTTCAATATCTAGTAATTAGCTATAGATAGCAAAAGGAAAAATATTTTTCTTCATTTAAAAAGAATTGCTTAGGTATTCCTTTATATTACATTTTGTTACATTGTTCTCAGTGCACCAAGGAAATGGTTCTATTCGTATTCAACGTGGGTCTATTCACTGGTCTCTGTAATCTGGTCTGGAACACTGTGCAATAATTCTGAGGTCTTCCAAGAGATGCTTTGGCTCAGGATCCAAGGCTCTCTAGTACAAGCCAGACTAGTTGTAGGTTTCAGGTGCTCAGGTCATCCTTTCTCTCTTCCCCATGGGTCTTTGGCAAACCAGAAAGAGGAAGCTTATCTTTGTTGTCTCTCTTTTCCCTTTCAGTGATTTCTACCCTCTTGGATCTCTCCTCTGCTCTCATTTCTAACTTGAATTATTACAATAGCCAGAGAAGGTGACAGACACTGGTATGGATTTATGAAACTCTGTTTCTTTTTTCTCTGGGGCATCAGCCGCATTTCCCAGCTCCTTTGAGTTTGGGGAGGAAGGCAGGCATGTGACCAAGTTCTTGCCAATGGAATATGGGCAGAAGCGAGGTCCCTAATTTCCAGGCCTTTTGCAGGCACACAATAATTGACTGTTTCTAAGCGGCAGTGGGTTACTAAGAAATAAAGAATCAAGTTCATTGGAATAGCACCAAAATGAGGAGAAAGAAGGCTCTGAATTGGAACTCTCTAATGAATGGAGTCCATGAACTTTAACATATGGTTATTATGGTGTATATTTGGAGTAAGCTGTGGTAGGCTGAATAATGCCTCCTACACAAACATGTCCATATCCTAATCCCCAAAACCTGTGTATATGTTGTCTTTTAGGGCAAAAAGGACTTTGCAAATGTGATTAAGAATTTTGAGATTATCCTGGATTATCTGGGTGGGCCCAATGTAATCATGAGAGTCCTTGTAATAGGGAGGCAGAGGGTTATTTGACTACAGAAGAGGAGTGTCAGCGTAGGACTTGACAAGCTATTGTTGGCTTTGAGGATGGAAGAGGGGGCCACTCCAGAAGCTGGAAAAGACAAGGAAACATTCTTCCCTAGAGCCTCCAGAAGGAAGGCAGGCCTGCCAGCATCTTGATTTTAGCCCAGTGAAACTGATTTCAGACTTCGGACCTTCAGAACTGTAAGATAATAAATTCACATTGTCTTATACCACTAGATTTGTGGTAATTTGTTATGGCAGCAGTAGGAAAGTAACACATAGGCCTTTTTATTTTTTTCACCTGGTTCTCTTTTATAGTCTCCTTTATTCACTGTCTAAGCCATTTTGGGTAAATGAGATCATCTTGTGAATAAGAAAAACAATAGATAATATGTACTAAGTGCTAACTATGGGCAGGCTATTATTTTCTAGGCCTATCATTTTCTAGTCATTCTATCATTTAATCTTCAAAACAAGCCCATGAGACTGATCAGATTATTAATTTCCTGTCTCTGGAAAATGAAGACAATTCTTAGAGAGATTAAGTAATTTATCTAAGGGCATACAGCTTAATATTGACATACGCATGTGATCTGATACCATAGTTCATGGTTTTAACTGCATACAGCATATGTAAGTATCTCCACGTGTGGGGCATATAGAAGCTCTGGTAAACCTGATTTAGAAAACTTTTATCGTAAATAAAATAGTAGTAAAAACTCCACTTTAAAACATTCCATTTAGAATACGTATTCACACTTTCTCAGGCAAAAAGGGCACATTTTATATTCATGTGTAGCTATGACTTAAAGATTGACCAATAAATCAGGTCAGATTGGAGCAGTTTTATCCAAGTAGCTCAGTTTCTGCCATCAGGCCTTCATTACGTAAAATAAGTGCAGTAAAAATTAATATGTTTCCCTCATTGTATTCTAATAGGGTATAATGGACTGAAATTATGTAGAGTATTAAATTTTTGTATAGAACTTATTAGGTCATTTTCAAAAAAACCTGACATTATTTAAGGAACTGTTGGACATACCCAGCTTGAAAATCATTTACATGTGAAGATATTCTATGGGGGGATGGCAATTTTTACCTTTCTAAAATAGAGGTGTCTGCTATTAGTGTTCAGAAGAAGGTAGAATGCTGTCATATTTCCTAGTGTTCTGCACTCTGCTAATTTCACACGGGGACATCTAAAAACTAAAGGTGAACAGGCAGACTCATCACGTGTGTGTTTTGGGGGACTTAACTCCTCCCAGTCTGACTTTTTCATCTATAAAATGAGGCACCTTCCTGTCCTATCTATCCAGTGGGGTCATTGTGAGGCTGAACCAGATTGCATGTGTGAAAGCACTTAGAAAACCAAAGCCCCATTGAAATAAAAAAGGATTATCATTAAACTTTAATCATAATAGGAAATGCAAAACAGCCATTAGAATCTCAATCTTTCAAAATAGCATTGTGAAGTGTTTAGAAAAAGGGAAACAGACATTGAAAAGTCCTTAGCTTTATGAAGTTTCAGTTTAAGGAGACAGAGATTCTCTTTGTGCTGCTGAGAGCCTGAGAGGAAGCAGCAGCAGTAAGCTGCCTGAGTTCTGCCTGAATCTTTATTTACATCTGTCTGACTCATCCTTGTGATGTGAGGGATTTCTTGGCCATACCCAGGTTTTGAGATAAGGAAAGGCCTGGATAATTTTATACGCTTTAACATCCTTGTTATCTTCTCCCCAAATCAGTAGATACTTCAAGTGTCTCACTGACCCCTTCAGGTCTGAACTAAATCAGAGGACAGGCTTCTTAGCTCCTCTGAGCCAATTTCCAGCCTCTGCTCAGAGAAAGATAATGACACAACATGGGGGTTCAGGAGGAAGCCGTCAGCACTGAAACAGAGCAGAGTTCTGAACTGTACCCCCAGCACCTGGAATAGAGCCTGGCATGAGACTAGACCGAGTGTTATCAAATGTCAAATCAAGACAGACGCCACTATCTGAGGTGGGTGTACCAAGTCAAAACAGGGTGCGAGGTAATCACTGCAGTAGGAGGAGGACAAAGAAGAGGAGAAAGGAGAAATTAGTACAGAAATCGCCTCACATTTAATACATACCACTGTCACACACTGAATTAGCAAGGAAAAAATATCCAGGCAGAAACGTCAAATGTTGAATGTAATTTAAAGGTCCACGAGACAATGAAGATGGAGATTTACCAGAAGTATGACCCTTTAATCCAAACTTAATTGGATTAAGCCAGACTGCCTGGGTCCACATCCCGGCTCCATCGCTTACAAGCTGTATGACTTTAGTCAAATTCCTTGTCTTCTCTGTTTCAGCTTCTTTATTTGTAAAATGAGATGATAATAATTCTACCCCTGAAGTTGTTGTGACTATTAAATGAGTTAATAGATAGAAAAGCTTACAACAGTGCCTAGAATTTATTTACTATGGTAGGCTGATTATGGCTCCTAAAGGTATGTCCATATCTGAATCCCTGTGTGATAGTTAATTTTATGTGCCAAATTGGCTGGACCATGGTGCCCAAATATTTGGTCAAATACTATTCCAGATGTTTCTGTGAAGTGTTTTTTGGATGAGTTAACATTTACATCAGTAGACCTTGAATAAAGCTGATTACCCTCCATAATGTGGGTGGGCCTCATCAATCAGTTGAAGGCCTTAGTAGAAAAAGACTGACCTTCCCCAAGCAAGAAGGAATTCTGCCAGCAGACCACCTTTGGACTCCAACTGCAACTCTTCCCCAGGTCTCCAGCCTGCTGGCCTACCCTGCAGATTTTGGACTCACCAAGCCTCCACAGAGCATGAGTTAATTCCTCAAAATCAATCAATCAATCAATCAATCAATCAACTTCTCTCTCTCTCTCTGTGTACACACACACACAGACACACACAGACACACACACACACACACATATCCTTTTGATTCTGTTTCTCTGGAGAACTCCAACTAATACACCCTGGAACCTATGAATGTTACCTTATTTGAAAAAAGGGTCTTTGAAGGTGTGATTAAGTTAATCTTGAGGTAGAAAGACTATCTTGGATTATCTGGGGGGGTCCTAAATCCAGTTCAAAGTGTCCTTATAAGAGACAGACAAAAGAATAGAAGACAGACACATAGAAGAGAAGGTGACGTGAAGATGGAGGTAGAGATTGGAGTTTTGTGGTCACAAGACAAGGAATGCCAAGAAATGCCAAAACCACCCAGAAACCAGAGGAGGCAAGAAATGAACCTTCCCCAGAGTCTCCAGAGGGAACGTGGCCCTGCTGACACACTGATTTTGGACTTCTGTCATCCAGAACTGTGAGACAATATGTTCCTGTTATTTTAAGCCACCAAGTTTGTGGTAATTTGTTACAGCAGCCCTAGGAAACTAATACATGTACTACATAGGTATTTTCTATTAGTATTCAGTATCTCCTCACTTATTAGCCGTCAAACCTCAAGCAGTTGTAACAGAGTCCAGAACCAGGAAGAAAGCAAGTAAAATTTCTGAGTATCCATGTCAATATTTACCCACTAATATCTTCACACATTACTCACTCAGAGGATCACTCTTAATGTTGACCTCTACCATTACAGATATGATGGAGAAAATTTTCCCTCCCCTGGCTCCATGGAGGATGGTACCCCAAAGGGCCTTGATCTACACTGGGGGTGGGTGGAAGAACTCACTTTTGAGTCACTCAATGAATCCCGCCCCCCCACCCCACCCAGGGTTCTCTAGCAGCAAACAGTGGGGCCATCCCTTGATGGAGGGGTCAAAAACGCTGTGATACTGGGAGGAGTGTCATCAACTCTTTCATGTTTGAGGGCCCATAAGAGAAGCTGCCCAATCCCGGGAGGGGGAGGTGAAGACAGTTGGGGCCTGAGTCCAAAGTTGGTAAACACAACTTGAGCTCATCTTTATCCTGCATTTTGATGCTGCCTCCTGGATAGAGACATGCTGAGGCTTTTGGACAGGGGAAAGTTTGCTTCAACCTGGCATCATGTCAATCTCTAGGGCAGTATATGGAATCAAGGACCCAGCTGGGCACAACGTTCCTGATCAAACTGTCCAGGCCAGCTGCTGCAATTGTTTCACCTCTGCTCATTAAATCCTCTAGTTTGAGGTTTCTTAACTCTCAGTCATTTGTGCAGCCCTTCATTATTTTTCCTATGTCTCTGTACCTCTTGTACTATTATTCTTTAAATAAACTCCCTCCTTTTATCTTAGCCTCATCCTAAATAATCCACAAATTCATGAGGTTGATGTAATGTGATAGTTCTGTTACTCAAATATCATCATGTATGTATTTATACCATTGAAAACTGTCCTGAGTATCTTCAGTAGTCAACCTATCATATGTATTACATACACACTATGGAAACAAGCACTGCCATTGTGGATATGTGACTTGGGGCTTGCGGCTCACTGCGGCATATGCGAGCCTCCTGAGCTGGAGCTTGGGGAGTGGGGGAAAGGATTGGAAACTCCTTTTCCACTTAGGGCTAACCATATCAAAAAATGGTCAAGAAAGAACACTAGGGGCCAGCCTGGTGGCCTAGCGGTTAAGTGCATGCGCTCGGCTACTGGCGGCCCGGGTTCGGATCCCGGGCGCGCACCGACGCACTGCTTCTCCGGCCATGCTGAGGCCGCGTCCCACATACAGCAACTAGAAGGATGTGCAACTATGACGTACAACTATCTACTGGGGCTTTGGGGGAAAAAAAGGAGGAGGATTGGCAAGGAGGATTGGCAATAGACGTTAGCTCAGAGCCAGTCTTCCTCAGCAAAAAGAGGAGGATTGGTACGGATTTTAAATAAAGTGATCTTCCTCACAAAAAAAAAAAAAAAAAGAAAGAACACCAATCTCACCCGTCTGCCTTAAACTCTTGTCATTGCATCCCTCCAGGGGAGAAAGAGGCTGTCTTTCAATCCCCCAGACTAGAGGAGGATTGAATCATTTCCTTGACAGGCTATAAGTGGCAAAGGGACAGGGCAGCTTTGAGATGGCAATGACTGGAAGCTGGCTAAGCAGAAGGGATCTGTAGATACTCCAGGTCAGGGAGCCAAGGCATGAAGCCTTGACCACTCAGTCATGGCAGCGTGGAGCAGGAAGCACAGCAGGACCAGGTCATTCAGGAAATCTGAAGAAGTCAATAAGAGCAGCACGTTTGGGGGCCTGCCCCACTTTATACCGGCACCTGGGAACGGAGGATGTAGGCATCAGTCAGAGGCAACTGGTGGGCTTGCCCTCGTACAGTGGTGGGAATAGAATGTCTGGGACTTCTGCAGAATCTGAGCTATGGAGGGGGTCCTGGTAAGTGACTCTGGAACAGAAACTCACCATTCATGGCGCCTCAGCAGCTGGCTCATTCTAGGGTAGGGCACATCACTTCTTTTTCCCGTTTCTTCAGACAGCTCCACATTCACGACCTAATCACATCTCAGGTTCTTTTTAGCTGTTGTTTTGTTTTCCTATTAAGTGGCAAAACCCTGGTCATGTCCCTCTCCAGGGTTCTGCCTTACGGTGGTTTCATTTGCACTCTGAGCTGGGTCTCCTCCATAAAGCAGCAGAAAGGGCAACAATCTGAAAGGAGGCCGCTGCCTTGTCACACTCAGGACTCAGCAGCATCTTCTGGAATGAAGTAGCTGGGTTCTATTCACCCCAGTGTTTGGGAACGACAACTCCTCTCACATAACTCCCACATCTGTCATCTGTTCACCTGTTATACCTCAGTGCATGTCACTTTTCCTAGAAACCACCTCCTGAGAAACACCCTCCCCGGCATGACTTGCTCTGGACAAATTCTTTTGCTTCTGGCATCATCGGTCACGGAAAGATCTTTTAAAATGTTAATAACTTGGTTCATTTATATAAAAAGGTCCATATTAGAAAATGTCTTTCCCCCTGTGTCTCATCTACACCTTAACATAATGTTTTATACTTGCAGTGTGCTCTCTGTGACATCGATGCAGGAAATAAATGGGTATAGATTGAAATAATTATGGGAAATGGCAAAAATTATTCTGAAACTGGCACTGACTTCTTCTTCCAGTCTATTTTTTGTTTGTTTAATAAAGCATCTAAAGCAAGAAATTAAAAAATAATGATGTGATAATGTCAGTTTACTTCTAGTGGATCAACAGTGGCCATAAATCTGAATTTAATTTTATATTTAATAAAACCCTCCACGTTCCCTGCATTAGAGTCCAGGAAACTGATTTGCTTCATTCCAATTGCTTTTCCTACACATTAAGCTGAATATTGTATCTAATCATCTGCTTTGGTGCCTTCCAAACATACTCAACTTAAAACCTGCCTCAAAATCGGTCCAGCTGATAAACCTTGTTACCCTTTTTATATGATTTATGTTGATTCTACCTTTTTTTACATTATTCTTAATTATCTTTGCTGCCTTACAATTTATAACTTAGGCCACCTAGAAAGTACGGGTCATTATTTCATTTAGCTTTGCTCTCACATCTTTGACAAAGCACAGTTGAGCTTCAGAGAATCTCCACGGCTTGGTTTTCATGCTTTGCCTCTGTGTTTAATAGTATTTTGAAATAAAAACAACAAGATATGCTGAAAGCTTCTTCCAGTAGGTGTGAAAGAAGAGGGCAGGGATGGAAATGCCTGTGGTACAGGGGAGTAGAGGGCCAAGCGGTGGCTGGAGCAGAGCTTTCAACTGAGTTTCTACCAACAGTTGGCAATCACGATAGCAAATGTACACAGTTCAAATTGTGCAACCACAACTTTTTTACATCATCCAAATCTGGGAGGCCAAATCCCCACTCAGACTGAATATATACTACTTCTTGATCAGTAGTTATGGGCTGCTGAAGACACCATTTCATAGAAATCATATAAAATATAAAATTCTTTATTAGAGAGAGTGTGTTATGACGAATCATATAAATTTACCGTTTCTATAGGTCAAAGTGGTTTGATGGTGGCAATTTCAAGTTGTTCAACCTAAAATGTGAGGAAACAAAAATACCGCCAGCATTCTAGAAATCCTAAGGATAGAATCACGTCACTGAATTCAGTTAATAAGCTAATGCCATTAGCTGCAGTGGGGGCTGGGCATACGGGTCTATTTCTAAGTGGTGATGGGCTTGGCACAGAAGTAGGAAAATGTGTGGAGATTTACTCCACCTCCAGGCTATTTTTTGGACCATATGAAACGTGTACATGTTTCTTCCATATCTTGTCGATCAATCTGTACTGTTCTTTATTCTAGGAAGGTTTAATTAAAGCCTAAGTAGGCTGACTTCTTCCATGATGTGATGATTCCCAAGGCTACTGCTCTAATCCTTTTCCTACATTCTTTCCCCCCAAAAGAATATAGTAACATATTTTTGAATTTTGAATAATAGAAGATTTTTGTCAAATATTTAAACAATTCAGCAGAGGTAAAATTTCCTTAATTATCCTGAGTCCCCATGAGATAACCAGACCTTCCAGATTCTTGTACGCATACATATAAACACATATCTCTTAAATAAGAAATAGATCATACTATGTTTGCTATTTAGTATCCTTTTTTGATCACATGACAGCATATTATAG